CAATCGATGCAATTTCTGCGAGTGGCGACCCGGTGCCAGTGACGTGTGCCTTTAAATCAATTGGCGGCAAAGTGGAGCCGATACTTCCGACCTACGTGAAAGTTTCCACGCCGATCTCGTACAGGCCGTTACCGAAGACGTCGTCCCTGGTGTACATTGCCCCGCCGATTTTCAAAACGGCGTCGGCCGTCATTGCGACGGATACGAGGAACGAGAGGGAAGCAGAGTTCACGGTAACTTCGAAAGCAGCAGCGTTCGTTCGTCCGCCATTAATTACCATCCGGATGAACTGAACTGAACTTTTATCTTTATATAATCTAAATAATAAATATTATTTTTATATAATTTAATTTTATATAATTTTATATAATTTAATATAATTTTAATATGATAAATTTAGTAAGTAAAATATAATAAAATATAATAAATTTAATATAATTTTATATAATTTCAGGCCTATCCGAGATACTCGTTCAACTATGGCGTCTTGGACGGCTACACTGGCGATTCGAAGTCAGCGTGGGAGGAGAGAGACGGTGACACGGTAAAGGGCGAGTATTCTGTGGTCGAGGCGGATGGATCGATTCGCACGGTCACGTATACAGCCGACGACCACAATGGCTTTAACGCGGTGGTGACTAGAAACGAGCCACCGAAGAACGCGCGGCAACACAATAATTTGAAAGCGTTTCTACCGGCCACTATTGTTTCCGATCCTCATCGAAGATAAATGCTCTTTCGCTTTTGCATCGAGATAACAATTCGAATATTTTGCATTTCATTATCTTACCGAGCAGAATCAAATAAAGATCTATATACGTACAATTTACCTTCGAAAACTCTTTGTCATTAACAATGCTTTATTTAAATACGTGGTGTGGTTTACAAAAAATATTTTCTCTCTCGACGTTCTCCCCATATTTTTTCTACGATAAAAAAAATTCCGACTCTTGCCACGAGCGTGAAATATAATTATACCATTCTCACGAAGTACCGACGAAAATCGATTTTCGAAAAAAAAAAAAAAAAAAAAAAAAAAAAAAAAAA